CCTCCTCACAAATCTGCAAGCCCCACAAAGGCAGGGGCAGTCCTCCTTGGTTATCCCATATCTCCCAAAAGAAGCAAAGTGCTTGGCATGGAGTAGGTGTTATTAACTATTTTTTGAGCAAATGAATGAATGACTGTAGTGAGAAGGCAGGACGGAGCTGAGGGAGGAGGAAGGATGAAGGTGGAAGTTGGCAGGTGAAGAGAGCAGATGGAGAGTGAGGGGCGAGGACAGTGATGAGGACGGTGAGCAAAGGTGAGGCTAGGGATGGAGGGGAGAAGAGGTGAGGAAAGGACCAGGGGTCTTCACTGGGCCTGAGTAAGTCTTCCAGGCCCTGAATGGACTTCCCAGGAGCTCTATCTCTTGGCCACGCTGCCTGTGAGGTTTGAAGGCAGAGCCAGTGGGCGGAGCTAGACTTTATCTAGGGGTGCAGCCCTAACCTCAGATGGTGACAGAGCTGGAGCCAGCAGGGGTTTTGCAAACCGTCCCGATTGCAGCAGGCCAGCAGTCTCGCTTGGGACAGGCGGGCGGGGCTGGGGCTTATCTCCCGAGTACAGTCCTAACCTCAGATGGTGACAAAGCTGGAGCTAGCAGGCGTTTTGCAAACCGTCCCGATTGCAGCAGGGTTGGATGGCTTGGCCAGGGGTGACAGTGCTAGGTGTGGGGGCAACGGGTTTGGACAGTTTGGGGCTTGGTTCGGGGTGAAGCTTGACATGTGGGGCGTGGGGGATGGACCCAATCTATGTAAGGCTTGCCTCTACCTACCTCAGATCTCTGTTCTGCAAGAGAAGGGGGAGGCTCTGCAGGTGGGTCTCTCCTTATTTAAGGAAACCTTCCTTTTCCCCAGTCCAAGGGTACTTTTGCTGCTCCCTGAAGTCAGAATGGGTGGCGAGTTGCAGCCATTTTCCTCTGAAAATACCCATCTCCCCATGGGTTAGCCTTGGGGAATTTTTTATGTGCCCGGGAAGTTTTTTTCTGAGGCCAGGCCAAGCCTGCTTATAGAAGCAGCTGGCAGCTGCTTATAGAAGCCAGGAGTCCTGCCCAGGTAAACCGTTCCCACTTTGGAGCAGCCCAGGCTGAGTCCTGAGAGGAGAGAGAGATCTGCCTGCTGGGGGCTAGTGAGGGTGACGGGAAGTGACTGGCTGTGGAAGAGAAGGTGCACAGACCCTCAGCCAGCCCTGGCTCTTGCCGCCTCAGCATCTCCTATGCAGCCCCCTCCATCCCATAATCCCCTCACTGGCTTGGGGCAGGGTAGGAGGTAGAGGTGAAGAGGCGCCTTTCCACCCCCACAACCCAAACCGGGATCTTGCAACACTGGGATGGGGGCCCTGGGGGCCCAGGAGTGTGGCAATCTGTGGGGGTGGGGGGTGGGGAGGTGTGCACGGAGCAGGGGGAGAGGCTTTCACAAGCAGCCTCCACCACGACTGACCTTGGCAGCCTCACCTTTGGTAGCTTCCCCCTCTCCACGGGTATCTCCGAACAGCCTTCCTCCTGGGCAGCTTCCCTGGGGCCTGAGATCCTATCTCTCAGCTCAGAGCTCTCATCCTGCTCCCCAGTTACGTTCATGAAGGAAAAGTGGGCCTGAACTGTGGATTCTAAAGCAAAAAGAATGCTTGTGTGTGCTCTTTGCACCTTGATTTGCTGGTTTTCCCAAGTTGCTGTGTCCCCAGGCCTCGAGCCTTTCCCCAGGCAGAGGTGGGGAGAACTAGCCTCCCTTGGGGGGGGCCCCTCTTTTCTGCCATCTGCTTTGTCTTCAGTGGGAACAGAGATAAGCCTGTTCCTTATCCCACCCCAGCTTCTTAGGGACTGTTCGCCCCAGCAGAGGGAATGAGAAGGGTGTCATGTGCAACTCCCTTCTGGAGGGAAGAAGGGAGGTCTTTTTCTTGCTTATCCCTTTTCTCCTGCTTTCCATCCCACCAGCCTCCCTAGGCTTCCTTCCATTTTCTTGATCACCCTGATGCCTTGGGGCCTTGGCATTTGTTCTTCCCCCTGCTCACCCTTTCCCCCTAATATGGCATATCTGCTTCCTTATTGATTTTTTTTAGGTTTTGACTTAAATGTTATCTACTCAGAGAGACCATATTTGGCTACCCCAGCTAAAAATAGCCTTCCCATCTGCTTGTTTACTCAGTTTCCCCATTGGGCATATTCAAATGGAGTAGTGAATGAATGAATTTAACGAAGGTGCTTCACTGAGGTGTGAGTGAACAGGATTGAGGGAAGGTGGCAGGGGGTGGTGAAGTGGGCTGGTGGCAGCAGGGGGGCCGTCACAGCCTTGGGTCGGGTCGTTAGGGCAGGAGTTCCATGTGAAGGAACCATGGAGGGTACTTGTCTTGTCAGGGAGGGGCTGGGGACAGGCACCTAACTTCACTCTCCTGCCCCATGGGGTATGTGGCAGGGTTACCAAAGAGGGGCAGAGGCAGACACTCAGCACCCTTGTTTGTTGCCTTTTTCTTTCGTCCCCTTCAGCTAACTGCTGGCTTTGTCTTAGTCACCACGGTGTTCTGGGCACCTTGCAAAGCTGGCGCAGGGAAGATGCTCAACAAATACTTGTCAAATGAGTTGCTTTGGTCCGAATCAGTTGAGGTCAGGTTAAAAGCCTCATTCAAAGAGTATGACATCTGGCTACCTGTCATATCCCCAGCCCCCACCCCCACCCTGGATATGGTCTGCTGCAGAGGATTGGGGTGTGCTCTCCTCTCAGTGTCACACAGGGGCCAGTTGTGCCCTTCTCTCCTAGTGGGGCTGTGACTCTTCTCCTGTCTTGGTGGCGGCCACCTGCCCTGAGGAGCCACTGGGGAAATGGGAGCTGGGAGGAGACACATTTCAGAGCTGTGGGAAAGAAGCCCAGGGTTGATGTTGAAGCAACCCAGGTTCCATCACCCAGAACCCTGAAGATAAGTCAAGGGGCAGTGGTCTTGAACTAGGAGGAGGAAATCCGGAGGTTGAGTCATTTAGAGTGTTCTGTACAAACCCCCCTTATGCAACCCATCCCCCTGGGCTGAAAGGAAGGTGCGGGATTCTCCCAGGCATCCACAGAACTGGCACCTCCCCCTTTCAAGCTCAGTCCACTCTGGGGGTGAGGTTCATATCTGTCTGCCCAAACCAGACCTGGGGCAGGGGATCCAGGGCACAGATGTAGGAGAAACTGTGCTCAAGAGACACCGAGGCAAAGGCAGGAGAGGGATGAGTCCTGGGTAAGGCAGGCGCAATGCACACAAGTGCCCAAGATGTGGAAAGGCTCTGACTCTGGGGGTGTGGGGGGAGAGAGAGAGAGAGAGAGAGAGAGAGAGAGAGAGAAGCGAGGATCCAAACGCCAGTCTCTGCCCTTCAGAAAGTTTTTCCGTGATGTCTAACTCAGGCTTTCTCAGCAGTGGCCTATAAATCATTGGTGGTCTAGGAGACATTCTAGCCTATGTTGTGCGTCTTCCTGTCTCTGCTGGGCATTCCTGATCACTTATGAATGACATTCAGTTGCCCAGCCCTGTGCTGTACCCTGTGCTGTATGCCTCTGAGGGGAGGTGTGAGCTCAGGGCAGAGAGACAGGTGTCCTGTGCTGAGATAACAAAGGGACTCAGTGAGCTTCAGGAGAATGTCTCTTTTCCCTCAACTGCTTTATCTATAAAATGTGGCTCACACTATCTTGCTTCTCTGAGGGCAAAGCCCACCTGATTGCTTGAGGTCTTTTCCAGCACCTCTTTTGATCTGTGATTTTATGGAGCTAATTTCAGTTCTGCTTTCAACCAATTGAGTGATTCTGACTAAGTCCCTTCCCCGCTCTGAGGCCTCGGTTTTCTCACCTGCAAAATGAGAAGTTTAGATGAGATCCCTGAGGTCCTTTCAGTTCTAACAAAATGGAATAATACCAACTGTTCACTCCGGCCCTGTCCTAGGCCCTGTTTATCTATGAACGTAACAGCACCATGAGGTGGGGGCTAGCACTACTCCCATTTTGCAGATGAGGAAACTGCAGCACAGAGGGAAGTAACTGGCTCTAGGTCACACAGCTAGTAAGCAGCAGAGGAAGATTCAAACAGAGGCGCTCAAGCACTGTGCTGTTGGGTTTCTTAGGTGAGAGTTCTGTGAAAAAGAAAACGCTTTGAAAATGGGGTTTCACCGGCACAGGCAGGTGTCATTCTCCACGTTATCAGTTTTCTCACATACAAACAGGCCTCAAGGCCTTTTCCAGTGGATTCCTCCCCGAAACACTCAAATGTTCACACGTTGGGGGCCCCGGTGGGTGAGGGCCAAGATGGGAGGGGGAGGGAGGGAGCCATGGGGGTATATCAATCTGGTGGACTGAAGCTGTGGATCTGGAGACAAGGGATTGAGTCCTGGATCAAGAGTTAAGGGTCCACACATATGGCAGAGTCATCTGGAATTTTCCCTTGGTCATCTGGCACAGGAGCTCCCAGATGCTGCTTCACTGTGAGGGAGAGCAGGACTGGGATCAGCAGGGACTGGGTGCTGCTGGATCTCCCTCCAAGCCACAGAGCTCTGTTAGGAGAGCAACCAGAGGCTGATCCAGGTCTTGTGGGGTGGCAGGAGGGTGCCTTCAGTGTCCACGGGACAGAGTGGGGTGGGGGGAGAAGAACAGAGTAACAGACTCAATCTGGCCAGGTGGTGTTTTGGGGGAAAGCTACGGGCAGTGTGTCTGCTGAATATTTGGGAAAATTCCCAAATATGCATTTGGGCATGGAATCAAAGGATAGTCATGTGAACTCCCAGGTTCTCTCTACAGCTCAGTTTGCTGTCTCTCCTTCTGCAGGGCCATGCCCCCTCCCGACCTACACACTTACACAGGCCCAGGCCCAGTGTACAGTCCCAGTACTGAGTCATAGTGCAATTTTATTCAGCTGAGAATCATAATGCTGAAGCCTGCCCTCTTCCCTTGCCACCCGCTGCCATTTGTCCACAGTCCATGTCTCAGGCTTGGCCTGTGAGGGGTTCTAGGATCCCAGCAGGGTGGGGATCTCCAGGTGCCCACAGTCTGCCAGCCGGGCTCAGCTGCAGCCCCCCACGCCCTTGATGAGGTTGGCGGCCTCGGGGATCTGGCGGAAGAGGTTGCGAAGGGTTTCCAGCTCCTGGGTCAGCTGCTCCACACGGCTGCGGAGGCGCTCGTTCTCTGCCATGTACTCCAGCACCTTCTGCTGTGTCTCCAGAATGCGCCTCTTGGCCTTGTCCCGACTCTTGCGCACAGCAATGTTGTTCCGTTCCCGCCGCAGCCTGTACTCCAGGCTGTCTTTGTTCACCGCTTTCTTGCCCTTGTGCGAGGGGCCAGCGGGAGAGGATGCCTTGAGAAGGGGACTGCAGGGGGCCGCAGCAGCAGCCAAAGGGGCCTGGAGGGGAAGGCACAGAGGGACAAGAGGTGAGGGCTGTCCAGGAAGCAGAGTGGCGGCGGGGCAAGAGTGCTGGCAGCAGAGCACCCTTGGGCCTCAAAGGGACGTGGGATCCAGAGCCAGCTCCTGGTTCCCAGTCAGAGCAATCTTGGCCCTGCTAGATACACGGGGTGCCTGTTCTGACTAAAACTCCCTTTCATGTTCCCACACTCTCTGAGGACACTTTCGTTCAATCTATCTTGTCTTTAGTTCTATGATCAGCAGGCATTTCCTCTTCTAGAAGCAGGCTTCAGAGAAACAAGAGGAGGTCGGCAGCAGAGAAGCTAGTGGGGGCCCGAGGTCAGGGCAGGTCAGCTGGACACAGAGACTGCAGGACACAGTGGGGTCCAGCGCGGGAGTGAATTCCCAGAGAAGGAAAGCAGGGTCGTGGTGGGGTGGTGGATGCAGAGGGCTTTGCGGGGTCAGTTTCATAAAGCAACACCAAACACAGACCCATTAAGAATTTAATCAGGAAGCTCAGAGTTGCCCCATCCACACCGGCCTCTCTCCAGCCCCTGGAAGGAAAGGAGGAGAATTGACCTGCTCTTACCTTGAGGACACGCAGGGGCTGGCTGGGTGCTGCCAGGGCTGGGGGCAGGTGCATGGCTGTCTGCCCACAGTGTGCCACTTGGTACTGCAGAGGATTGTAGCTGCTGCGGCTGGTCCCTCGGCTGCCCTCAGGTCCCCGAGGCTCTTCCTTCACAGCCACGGCCCTGGGGTCGTAGCTGCCTGGGCTGCTGTAGATTCCAGGTCCCAACGCCTTCCTGTCTGGGCCGAAGGTATGTGGGGGGTAGGCGAAGGGCCGCGGGTCGGGTGGCAGGTAGTGAGGGAAGGCAGGGTTTCCGGGGCCCTTGAGGCCTCGGGTCTCTGGTGCCGGCTTCACAGCGAAGAGGTCAGAGAGGAGCTGCTCCTCCCCAGATTCGATGTAGGCCGAGAGGTCGATGGAGGCCTCATGCTCACACATGTCCCCCAACTCCCCTGGCCCCGCTCGGGCCCCTGAGAACTCGAGTGCCTGCTGGCCCGCCCGGGGCTCACACTCGTAGTAGGTCCCATGAGACATGGCTGGTCCGCCCCCTGGGCTCCCCGCCCCCGAGCCCTGCTCTAGGGGCACCCGTGAGATGCTTGGCCTGCCCTTTCTTGATCTCTCCCTGCCCTAGATTTGCCCTAGATCTGCCCTCTCGGTCTCCTCTGTCACCCACTCCTGCGTGGCCTCTCTCCTCCCTCTTCTGCTGTTTCCTTTTCCTTCCTCTCTAGTCAATGCAGCTTTTCTCTTCCCTTTTTTCCCCCTCTCTCCCTGGGGTGACTCAGGGAGGGGCAGGGCGCACCCCAAGGGAGGGATGCAGGCCTTAGAGAAATGGGGCCCCCAGCCTCTGGAGCAGCTGGGACACTCTTTGGTCAGAGTCCAAGCCAGGGCCCTGAGCTGCCCAGGAGCTGAGGCTTCTGGGAATGCCTCCCCAGCCCCCGCTGAGTCCAGGGGATTCCGGAGTCCTTGCTTAGGGCAACACTTCCCTCTGAGTGTCCTCTTCCCTCCAGCTTCCAAAAAGTTCTGTGTAGAATGAGGTGCCAGGTCAGAGTGAACAGAGAACGCCCTCCTCAGTGCCGACCCCCAGCCTGGGCTGAGCTCCTCCCTTGACACACCTCTCTCAGTACCCCCCCCCCCCCCCCCCGCCCCAGGGCTGGGCTCCACCCAACCCTAGGGGCAGTCAGTTCCTTTTGTAGCCCCACCTCCCAGGGCATTCTCCTGGGTTCAGGCCAGGGGGTGTTTGAGGGGTCTAGGAAGTATTGACAGGTTCTGAGACCAAGGCAGACTTGGGGACTGTGTCGTGGCTGAGAGCATGCTCATTTGCTAGTTTTTTTCACAAGGTCTGTGCAATAGCCCAGGCACGCCTGTTTCCAGCTAGCTTTAGCAGCCTGGCCTGGCCTAGGCTGAAGCTCCCAGTCAGGACGTGAGCCCCGTGCCCCAGACCAGGCAAGTTGCTGCCCTGAGAACTGCCTGTCACAGTCTGGTAGCTCCAGAGCCTCTCTCTTCCAGCTGCCCCTGCTGCCAGAGAGCCTCAGGCTGGAGCTCTGCCCTGCCCTGGTCCCGGGGCTCTGCTCCATTTCCTGTGCCCTGGCCACAGGGCGCAGGCACTCGCTACAGCTCAGCTCCGGTTGCTGTCTTTCCTTCTGCATGGCCATTCTTTGACCTCGGTGCATGTCTCTCGGGTCCACTTCCTCTTGTGAGGCTTGAGAAGCCTTGTCTTTTGTCATCACCTCTTCCTGGGGCTCTGTTTCAGGGTCTTCAGGAGAAGCTTAGGGCTTGCTCCCCGTACTTTTGGTCTCACGGGAGGCCTCCTCTCCCTTCCCTTTTCTTTTTCTCTGGGTACTCCCCACTCCCTTCTGTCAGAGACACTGGCTGGGACCCTGCTTTTACCTTTCAAATTTCATCTATAAAAGGGACTATAGATTCGGTGAAAAGGAAGGACACAGTAGAAATGTATTACTGGCTCTTTTACTACCAGCAAATGCTGGGGGGTCCCTGTGGGGAGCTTGAAGTTTTTATAGGTCAGGCATACCAAGGGTTGGGCCAATGTGGGGCAATGCAGAGGGGATATGCATGGCATTAAACACTGCAATAAAGTATGCAAATAGGACTGCCTGCAAGTCAGGCAAGTTACCCCTTCCTCCCTCCCTCCCCACCCCTACAATACCCCAGGAGCTTTCCGTGCAGGTTTTGAGGTGATTTATCTAAAAGCCCTGACCTGGCATGGGAAGATCTTCCTGCATCCCAGAGACAGATTTCGGGAACCAGAGGGGAAATTTGTTTTGCCTTTTCCCCATTTCTAAAGACCCTGTGGCAAGTAGGTACCACAGCTGAGCTAACTCAGGTTGGTGGCAGTGCCTCTGTGGACCATCAGGTGGCAATATAGGTCCAAAATCCAGATTCGAGGGGCAGCTGGGGTTGGGAATCAGGTGGCCGACAGAGGGCAGCCTCCCACAGCCCTGGCACCAGCGAGACACAGGCTGGGGGTCCTCGGGGAAGGAGGAAGAGGGACCATGTCTGGGGAGAGGACGTGCGGTGCGGTCACAGGGAGAGTGGGCAGGCTGACAGGGCCTTGTCTCGATGAGGAAGAATTCTGTCCCTCCCCAGAACTTGGAAACAGTAGTGAGGATGGTGAAAGCCTGGCATTTTCTGGTGTCTGAAACTTACACTTTTTCATGCTGACATTTTCCCTGTGAGTTAAGTAGCAAGGTAAGCAAGACAGAAGGTATTTTTATCATTGCCTTATGAATGAGGAAAACACAGCCGAGAGGTAGAGCTGCCCAAGGTCATTCAAGCACGCTGCTAGATAGATGTTGGGGGACAGGGCAGTGGGTTAGCTCTTGAAACCCTCCGGCAAGAAGGGATAAGGGAAGGCGGCGCTGTGTGACTTAGAGAGCCTCTTTGCTCTCAGTCTGCCACCCTGAGAGAGTGGGAGGGAGGGCATGGCAGTGAGGGAGCTGGCGCTGGGGAAAGCAGAGAGGTGTGCAAATAGAGGCGGGGCGGGCAGGAACTGTGGGGAGGTTAGGGATCTCAGGTCTCTCGCCTCCCAGGCTGGTGGCTGACGTTGCTGGCATACTGACATCGTGTTTCCCAGTAACCAAGGGGTTTGGCCGGGCAAGAGGCGCTCTGGATGTTTGGGCAGGGGAGGAGGGCGTGCTGAGCAGGAAGGAGGGTGGGGAGAGCAGTGCCAATCAAGGGCTGGGGGGATTCTTGGGTACTGCATAATTGCTCAGGAGCAGTAAGAAAGCCTTCCTGGTCAGCAAGACGATTATCTCCTTGCCCCTGCAGTTGGCGCCTGTTTGCATTAACTGAAGCAATGCATGCGTATTATTTTACTGACTCTGTAACCTGCCTCAGTTCAAAGCCACCTCTTTTGTCAAGCATTTTGAACAGGGTGGAGACTGAGCGTGGTGGTGAAGTAAGTGTCTGAGATACTGGGCTCAAATCCTGCCTTGGTCACCAGCTTGATGACCTTGGACAAACTACTTAATCTTGTAAAATAGCAGTAGTCGTACCTACTGGGTCAGGTTGTTTCAACTAAACTTTGAATAAGAATGTGCGGAAAGCAATGTTCAGTCTCTTTCTGCCCTTCCTCTGACTACCGATTGTAGCTTGTCTGTGTCTCCTAAGCAGATGTACACTGTCTGCAGCCCCGTCTGATGCTTCAATTTGACAAGCGCTTTTGAACACGCAGGCACCAGGCAATGCATGGGCTCTGGGGACCTGGCAAGTTCAGCCGCTGCCTGCGGCAGCTGGAGTCCAGCCATAGCGGGCAGTCAGTGATGCCATGAAGGGCACACATCTGTGCCAGATGCGTTCTTGCCTTCTTCTGCCCACTGAATGTCTGCTCCTTGAAGGTAGGGTCAGATACACCTTTTGGACCTCTTCAGCTATAGTGACTGTATTGCCTGAATTAAAATTAAGGACAGTTGAATGGACAAGTATGAATATACTTATGGGGAAAACGGAACAAAATATCTGAAGACTGTGCTGAGTTGGAAAACTCAGGAATAGGTTTGCTATTCCACAGCATGTAGAAAAATTCTTGGACACCATGGTCACACAAAGGTTTGTTGTGTGATTATATTAATAAATGAATGCTTAAGCAGCTATGATTTCAGTGACCTCCAAAAGTCTCCTAAGTTCCCTAAGGTCTGAGCATCTGAGTTCCTAGCATTAAAGTGACTGACAGGGTTAAGACAGGTGAATGGCCCAGGTTAAAAATAAATGCGTGTTGCTCAGGAGGAGACCCACGTTTGCGCATTTGACCAGGTTGAAAAGATCAGCAAGTATCACCTTACAGAGTGAGAGGGGGCCCCCAGGGACAAGTGTCTCCATGGAGCAAGAGGGGATTGGGGAGGGCTAGACTTGCCGGAATGGGACAACGTGGAGGAAGACCTTGGGCGGCCCAGGGAAAGAAAAAGTGTGTATTGGGAAGAAGGGGGGTCCCAAAGGGGTGCTGCAAAGCTTGGCGAAGGGCCTCTTACACACGACTGGCCTCTGCCCAGTTTTGCCCTCACTCTTGTGGGACAACCTTGGGGAGGGAGATTTAGGAACACTCCCCCGCCCCCGCCCCCCGCCGCCCTGTGCCCTGTACAAGTGCTAAATAGGTTAAATGACTTGCCCAAGGACACACAGCTGCTCGGTGGCTGGCGTGGGACTTGGAGCCAAGAGTCTGTGCCCCTGTGAATGGCAAGCCTCCAACCTCAGTCTACAAGAACACCAGCCACAAACAGCAGTGTCAGGGCGTCAGGATAGGGAGTGGAGGCACCTTGCCTGCCTGTGTCCTCACAGTGGCCAAGGTGGTGGAGGACGATGTTTTAACACCCTTCTACCCCCACTCCCCCTCCTGCCCCTGTTTGTCGGCAGCGCTGGCTCTGGAATGATGCAGTTCCAGGACAGGCAGTGGGAGGGATACCCATAAAGAAAGGGCTCCCAGCAAGGAGAGTCTAATCCCATTAACTTCCTTTAGCAGTTAACCCAAAGCATCAGGAGGTCCTTGTCCCCTACTTTATCCACTTTTTTTTGTTCTAGCCCAACAGCTCTCCTAGTCTTCCACCTAGAAATCTTCCTCTTCATTGGCTCTGTACAGCTAAGTGGACCCTTTCGTCTCTCAGTCTCTCCCATCAAGCCGCTTGGACTCAGCTGGGTGCTCCCCTAAGGTCCCCTCTCCATCTCTCCACAGGGTCAGGCTGTCCCTTTCTCCCTCATTCAGCTCGGGCTGTCCTGTCCTGGCACCAGAAGCCTTTGCTGACTGAGACTTGGGGACAACTTCTGCCTTTGCCTTTCTCCATGCAGCTTGGGGCCTGCATTCCCATGTTGGGTCGTAATGAGGTTTTTCTTCCTAGCCTGCAAGTCTGCAGGCTTCCAGCACAGTGCACAGAGCAGGAATTTAATAACACTTCGTGACTTCACAGAAAAAATGAGAGCAAGCTTTTGGTTCAAAGGGAGAAGTGGCTGTTGGAAAGTAATGACATTGATCCCCTGGGGCAGAGCGAGGGCCTTTAGGAATGCCATCATGGAAGGAATCTGGCAAC